TCTATCGCATTCTCGCCCGACGGCCAAAGGCTCGCGTCGGCCTCTTACGACGAAACCGTCAAGCTCTGGGACTCGGCGACGGGCGCGTGCCTGCAAACGCTCGAAGGGCACAGCGACTCGGTTAGCTCTATCGCATTCTCGCCCGACGGCCAGACGCTCGCGTCGGCCTCTTACGACAAAACCGTTAAGCTCTGGGACGCGGCGACGGGCGCGTGCCTGCAAACGTTCGAGGGGTTCACTTCCACTTTATCATTTGATAAGACGGGCTCGTACCTCCATACAGATTTTGGGACTAAATTGCTACACAAACAATCGGCTGCTGGTCCAGCAGCATTTCAAGCCCATTTACAACACCAAGATTTTGGGGGTATTGGCATTAGTGCTGATGGAGCATGGATTACGCGGAAAGGAGAGCATTTCTTGTGGCTGCCTACCGAATACCGTCCTAGTGGTTATTGTGTAGCCATAGCAGGATTGACCATAGCCTTAGGCTGTTCATCCGGGACGGTGTTGTTCTTCCAGTGGTCAGGAGCCTCTTAGAGAAAATTTTCCTTGCGTTCAATCCTCTTTTTTCTTTTCTCTTTGCCCGTTCCCGGGTCGTAGGGGACCGCGCATTTTTATAGATTTGTGCTATTGGAACCGTTAGCGTTTTCCATTGACTTCTAGTGGCGAACGCGTTTTGCCACAGCATTCCAGTACGCCTTAGTTACCGCCGATCGCCCGCTCATTAAAAAGGAGCGCCGGAATACAGCCCGGCCTCTGTGCCTTCGGGTTTAATTCTGCTAGCCGCCGGATAACAACATGTAGCCTAGTGTTTAGCTTAGGTAGCGCTGGCACTTCTATCACGAGCCTTAGGCGAACGGGGAGGCCCCGCCCGATAAGGGCGATAAGGGTGGCCGTGCACGCACAGGGTATCTTGAGCGCGCACCGCAACCTTCCCCCGAAAAAACCCTTTTTTCCTAGTGCAGCCAATCAGGAGCCAGGAAAGGAACCGTCGCGGAGAAACTTCAGAAGTGGTTCAACTGAAGCGCAACAAAAAACAACAGACAACCGCTATGGATTTTCCTACGGTTATCGCCAGGCAGCTCGAAAAGCTGCATCAAAGACAGGTCGAAGATGCCGCCGCGCGGTACGAGACCGGGGTGGCGGTTCTTAGGGCCGCTGCGGAAAGCCTCGCACCGCTACAGTCCCCCGCACAGAAAAGGGCGGGGGAGGCCCTGTGGCGAAAGCTTCGGTGCACGCTCGTCGAGAGCGTGCTGGGACAGAAAGGGGAAGGGGGCCCGCCCCCTCCCCAAGTTGCTCGGGCAGCAATGCCCCGGGTGCCCAACGCACCTAAAGGGGGCAAACCACCCCCAAAAAAACACCAATCAGCGAGGTCGAACCGGCCGGTCGCTGGTGGGGCCAACCCGGCCCCGATCAAAACAGGCTGCGCACTTACGCCGGTAGGGCCGGGGAAACCCGAAAGCGACGGGGCAGCCAAACACCCGGTCCGGGCAACGGGAGTGGTGGCCGCCGTGCGGCCCACGCCCGAACCCGAAACCGAACAAGTTACCAGCCCTAGCGAGATGGAAGTGGATAGCCCGGCAAAGGCCGGGGCACCAAAGGAAGGATGGCCCACGCCTCCGCCGTCCTCCCCCGCCCCCCTTCCGCTATCCTTCGCCGAGGCAGCGGCTCGCCCCGCCCTACCTAGTGCAGGGCCGGACGTGCCGAACGAGGTGGCCGGCCCCGTTTCGGGGCCGGACGCGCAACAAGTAACGAAACTAGTGGAGGCAGCGATAAGGTCTGCGTCAGGGTGCGAGCACCTGGGAAAGCTTAACCCTGCCGCACGGAAAAAGCTTTACCAGCAGGCGCTGGGCCATAGGGCCCGGGCCAGGGGAATGCTTCTAAACGCACAACAAGTACCGGAGTTACGGGCACGAGCTACGGCAGCGCTCGAGGCTAACTTACGGGCTATGAAAAAACTTGGGTGGAAAGGGGACCAGGACCCTAGCTAAAAGGGGGACGTAAGGGCCCCAAAAAGAAAGAGCGGAGGCCAGGGGTAAGGTTTTACAGTTGCCCTGTGGTTATAACTTTCCTTGTACCTAGCCTTCGAGAGCCGGCGCAACGCGGCCACAGAGAAATTGCCCAGCCGCCGTCGCGGGCACGTCAGAGGACCGCATGCTGTGGTCGCTCGACGGGACTGGCCCTGCCAGCACCCGAGGCGCTGACGTTAATAGACTTACTTACTTACTTGAGCGCGCACCGCCTTCCCTGCGAGCCTGGATTGCTTCCGGCAACCTACTTGAAGCTGCTGCCTGTCGCTATGCCTTTTGCCTTCCCTATCTACTGTGACAACGTCGTACGCCCCTCGGAGGCAGGGACTGGTAGATCTCGACTTACCGATGTTAAATATACTCCTCCTACTCCTCTATCTGCACGCCCCTCCACGGCCAGCTTTGCATCAACTCTCGCCGCAAAGGCACGCCGGGGTGTTTTGCAAGCAAGACTCGAGCTCACAAAAAGCGTGAACTGGCTTTTAAAGTGGTAGTATTTTTTTTGCAGGGGTTGGAGTGCGCTCAAAAGATTGGCACCAATGTTGCGTGGAAAGTGGAGCCAGGGAGGGTGTTCCCAAATTTTGCGCCCAGCTACGCTCTTGGCAAACCAGGGCATTCTTTTGGTAAACCAACACCCACCTTTAGCAAAAAAAGATACGCCCCCTTCCATTCTTGGCAGACAAGGTTACACTCCTTGGCGAACTAAGATGCCTCCTTGGCGAACTAAGACGCCTCCTTGGCAAACTACGGCGCTGTGGCACAACGCCATGGCCATTATAGCCCTCCAACTCTGAACAAATTGCCAGATTTGTTATTGTTGTCCTTTGGTTAAGTTGAAGAGGGCTTCACTTTGCCGAACCTGTCACACTGCTGCCAATAACAGCACACTTAAACGGCTGGTAGATATTTGGAAGGCTGCTAATTATGCCAAAGGTACTTCAAGGTAAGTGTAACACCCCAGATGTTATGGCGCGGTAGCCCGAATTGGCTGCCTGCCAGGTGCTATGCACGGGCCCGCATTGCACGGGCCAACGCGTGCCTATTTGGGCAATTCCGCTGTCGCCGTGCAACGCACAACTTTTTGCCTTTCTTCTCTTTACCTTTTGATAGCCAATTCAACCTACGGATATCGCAGCCTGCCTCGTTGCCTACGTTGGACCGAGACACTAGAGATGTTGGGCATCTCGGTCCATGCCCAACCTGGCGGCTCAAGCGCGAGCTAACGACCAGTCCGGCGGCTCCAGCATGAGCTAACGACCAGTCTGACAACATGAGCACAGGCCTTGGCCGTGTCCAAGCGTCCAAGACGGTCCACGGCGTGGTGGCCGGAGGCCACTACAGCATCATGTATATCTAGGGCCCGCAAGACTCCCTGTGAAGGGGTCTGGAGGGAAAGCAACCGTTTTTGTTTTTGTCTTTTCCTGCTAAGTGCTGCCAGGCACTTTCTGCTGAATACAACACTGCCCTGCACGCTTCCCCAAGACAGCTAAGTAACCTGAACCTCTGAGATCTCCAGCGAGAACCTCTTCCTGTGCACAGCACGTAACAAACACTGTTGCAATTCATTAATATTGATAACCACTTTATTCCAAGCTAAAGCATGCTGGAAATGCCGGCACAGACAACACCGTTAATGCCACTAAACCCAATAAGTTTTAATTTATGGTTATTCGCTTTTCTGGTAAGCATGCACGAGCTTTTGGCAATTTTCGAGGTTCGCTGCGGGTTCCCAAGTATCACTCCACCTCATCTTTACCTCCTTTTTCCCGTCTTTATTAGTTCGTTCCCCAATAATGTCCCCTTCAAATTCATCGCCATCTTGTATGTCGGCGGGTACCCAGCTATCTGCCCATTTTACTTTGTATTGTATTTTCCCATTTTTATTTCGCATATCCACAATACTTTTAACCGGAAATTCGCGGCCATCTCCAGTCGTAACGTAAATACGGGTTTTCGAGGGTGTGTTCGCGGGGGCGGCGTAGTAATAATTAAATTCTAGCATGGCGATAAGATTTGCGCAATTTATAAGTGGGGTGTTTGAAAGGATGACTAGACGGATATCACCAAGAAAGCCATAGAATACGGTGCGCGGTGTGTTAAATATATTAGTTTCAACGCCCTAAATTCATTATTTGCTTTTAAATTTGTCATAGCCTCCTAGCGAGCGTTTGTGGCACCGACGAGAGTGGTGATTTGTTTCCCGGCCTTATCATTGGAGTGCCCACTTCTTTGTGACAGCAAGCAAAGAGCAAATACATTAAGGGGCAGTGGGTTGACAATGTAAGCCAATCTCCGCACCAAATGCTGGGTGGGAAAGGACAAAATAAGAGGAACATTTTCAGAAAGTTAGGTTCTAGCGTTGCCACTGTTTACCAAAAGCTCTGGATAGTCGCGTAAGTTTAGAGATAAGCACGTGAATATCGTTTTTTACTCTGTGTTATGGCGTGGCATGCCCTTTCGTGCAGCCTTGCCCCACCAAAGTGTACTTGAGCCTCCAACTTTCCCACCTCTCACAGAGGCATTCTGCCAGACAAGCAAGCAATGCAAGGAATCTTGAACCATGCCCAGCATATTTCAACAGTAACATCTAGGGCCCGCAAGACTCCTATAAAGGGGTCTGGAGGGCCAGCAACCTTTTTTTGTGTTCTATCACGTGTTGTGCTATCAGATTCCACCCACTGAGTAAGTCAGTGCACCCCTTCTCCGGACACCCCCCCTGTCCGGACACCTTTTCCCATACAAACGGGTGAAAACTCACTGTCTTTATAACGTAATTACAAGTCGAATAAAAATCGCAAAAATATAACTTGAACAGTGTTAGGAAATTTAAAAGCGTAGTTTTTATTACATGGTAAAATTATATTTCTTATTCGTTATTATAAGTAATAAATTTGAGTTTGAATTAAAAGTTGAAAATTACATATAATTTATATGGAAATACAAAACTGGAATAATTTAATATTTATTGTATAAACTGTACTGCAACGAATTTATACGGGTTATTAACACTAAACCACGTATAAAAATTAAAAAATTGAATTTATATAATTTTTTTATAATTTTTAAAAAAACAATAGTCCAATACACTGTGCAATACACTGTGTATGTAACTTTAAATAGGGGCAATTACGGGTAATTACGTAATATATACTATACGTAAATGTTATGCGATAAAATTTGAAATTTTACATATATAATGCATAAGACCGCATATTTTTAACTTATATAATTGCAAAGTTATTTAGTAATTTTCAAGTGTTATAATCCTCATATAATTGTTAGCAATCCTTAACATTTTAGGCCTTTTCAATTGATGTGAAATTTACTTACGAACTGGTACATATAAAATTTGTTATAAGTAATCATAATACATTCCCGCTTTTAAATTTTATATCCCTGCTTACGTTATATTTTTGCGATTTTTATTTAACTTGTAATTGCGTTATAAAGACAGTGAGTTTTCACCCGTTTGTATGGGAAAAGGTGTCCGGACAGGGGGGGTGTCCGGAGAAGGGGTGCACTGACTTACCCCACTGCACTACATATCTTCCCAAGGCCGCTGAGTGACCTGAACCTCTGAGATCTCCTGGCGAGGACCCTCTCTAGTGCGCAGCACGTTACAGCAGGTCGCGCTGGCGCGACCAGCGCCTTTTCCTTCCCCTCTCCTTAGTGTAGAATCTTCGTTCATAGCGTCAATGCAGGGCCTTCGTGCACTGTTAAGGCCGTAACAGTTACCAGGAAAAGGAGGGTTGCTCCGCAACTCTCGGCGCGGCCCACGGGTTTGTAGGAGCGGTGGCACAGCCACTTTAAGGCGCACAGCCGCCGGCCGTGGCTAACCGTGTGAGCCTGGCCCGCTAACATAGCGGACAAGGGGGGCTGGCGGAGATGGGGTGTGTCACGATCAGGGAGCCTAAGCTTCGCAGCCAGGTGCAATTGATGCTATAGACTAAAAACTCTTCTATGGGGAGGAAATAGGGAAGAAAGGTAGAAAAAGTGGTGCGGTGTCTTATCGCACCGGCTATTCCGTATGACGGTCCCGCCATATGTCCAGTGGCACCGCCACAGATGTAGGGCATATATAGGGCAGACACAGTCATACAAGCCACACGGATCGCGACAGCTTCAGGCGCAAGTCACACGGGCGCGACCAGCGCCTTTTCCTTCCCCTCTCATTAGTATAGAATCTTCGTTCATAGCGCCAATGCAAGGCTTTCACGCCTCCATTAGTCTGGCCGTAACATTCCGCGGCGCGTGCTCACGTGGATGCTTGCGGCGTGTGCTGCGGCGGAAGCAGAAAACGCCGACGCCGCCGCCATCTTGGCTTTAGATGGCTAGAGTGTGCATTTTCTCAATATCACACCGGACCCGACAAATCCGGGTTTAAACTAGGTCCCCCGCACGGTCGCGTCAAAAGTGGAACCAAAGCCAATTCTTGCACCCCTAGCCGAGTTGAAAAGCCAGTCCACGCTTTTTGTGGGCTCGAAATATTGCTGGCAAAGCAGCCTGGGGGGGCGTGCAAATACAGGAGGGCTGGGTGAAGTTACACTACACCCCTCAAGCTCCTGGGGTGTGCAATAGCGTGGCTGAACAGCCACTTTTTGTTTTGTTGCATGTTGTGACAACCTGGGTCAAGACCCACAGGTCAAGACCCACGGACCAGGACCTACACGGTGGACCGTCGTGATCCCTGCTTTTTCCTTCGCTCCTCCCTCTCCGCAAGGAGGTGGGGCGGAGCAACTTACACAGTGCAGCCATACCTGCTGTAACGTGCTGCGCACAGGAAGGGGTTCTCGCTAGGAGATCTTAGAGGTTTAGGTCACTCAGCGGTTTAGAGAAAGCGTGCGGGGCAGCGGTGTATTCAGCAGAAAGTGCCTGGCAGCACTGAACTGGAAAAACCAAAAACAAAAACGGTTGCTTGCCCTCCAGACCCCTTGACAGGGAGCCTTGCGGGCCCTAGTTATACATGGTGTCGTGGCGGCCTCCGGCCGTTGTGCTGTAATCCTTCTCTTGAGACTTCATTATGACTGGGGGGCGGTTCGCGCGTCAAGTGCCACGCGTGTCCACCTTGTCATTGTTTAAACAGAGGGCCGCGTCATTTCTGCTTCGCCCGTTTTCAGGCCACGATCGAGGAGCCCTTCCTATAAGTATATATAAGGGACCACCCTCCACCGTCCAAAAGAAAGAAAGCGAACTGGAAGAGCAGCATATAAACCCCAAAACCCACCGTCGCCATCACGATCCAGATCATCACCGCATCAACTCAAGCCCTTAAAAAGGACGCCACACCGACGGTTCGCCCTTGCATTAGCGAACAGCAGACTGAAACGCAAATACAATACCGTTACGGTCGAATCCGCCAACGCTACGGCCATGCCGAACTGGAGCACGCTTCCCGCTCTTGAGCACGCCGTCAAGGAGCGCAGCGGCGCCGTGCCGCCTGCGCAACAGGTCGACATCGAGACCCTGGAGCAGTACGAGAATGTCCGCAAGAATGTGACGCAGATGGAGCAGGCACTGGCCTTTGACTTTGCCTGCTCCGCCAAGGCTGGTCAAAAAGAGCGCGACGCGAACGCAATCATGCAGCTGCTGCGCCAAAACGACAAGGAGCTCTTCGAGCGCGCTCCGCCCAGGAAAGGCTACCAAAACCAGCCGCACAAGCGGCACCCCAGCGACCACCATCTTACCAACCTGGACCTCGTGGAGAAGACAGAAATCTTTCAGGTGGCCCGCAGGATGCCAAAGGGCGCACACCTACACATCCACTTCAACTCATGCCTCGAGGCAACATTCCTGCTGGGCTTGGCAAAGGACCAGGATACGATGGATATCGGAAGCAATAGGGCACTGATGGAGGCAGCCGACCTCGAAGAGTGTGAAATACAATTCACCATCCGGGGAGAGCTCGGCACCCGGGCCGAAGGCCCTCGGAAAGGGATTCGGCGGGCCTGGACTAGGAAGTTCATTGGGAACCCGCCAAAGCCCCCAGTTCTGGTGAACTTGTTCGACAAGGAAAATTTCGATCAGAGCGAGGAGCCAGCCGACAAGATACGTTGGATGAGTTACAAAGACTTTCGCGACGAATTCCCACACAAATTTCCGAAGCACAACTTGGACACGTGGCTCGAGGAGAAGCTGGTCTACAACGTGGAGGAGGCGCACGGCGTGCATCAAACGGCCGAAGGGTGAGTCCAAGTGATTCCCAGAACAACTACTGCGTCCGCATGAAAACGCTAACCTTGCTCCTGTTTGTCGCGTATGCAGAGCCTGGGCCAAGTTTAATGGACGGACCAGGATGATGAAGGGCCTGTTCAACTACGAGACTGCTTATCGCAAGTATACCCAACAGTGTCTGCAGGACTTCGTTAACGACAACATCCAGTACGCCGAGATCCGACCCAACTTTATGCATACGAATCAGGTCTGGTCAACGGACGGCAAGCAGCTATACGACAACTACGAGATCATGAAGATCATTACAGATGAATGCAACCGTTTCCTCGAGGATAGGAGAATGATGTCAAACGCTCCATTCTTCCAAGGAATCAAGGTTATTTACTGCACCCCAAGATCTTTTCCCGACCACCTGATCAAGGACTCTCTGGATGAGTGTTTAGAACTCAAGCGCTCGGCTGAGATCGGTCACATGATTGCTGGTAGGTCTCGACGAGCTGGTATGCTTAACGTTCTAACCCCACGAGAGAAGTCACTAATAGGGGAATTGCTGTCATTTAGGTTTCGATTTCGTCGGCCAAGAGAACGCCGGAAGGCCTTTGAGGGACCATGTAGAAAACTTACTCCAGTTCCAGGCCGATTGTAAAATGAAAGGCGTGGAAATACCGTTTCTGTTCCACTGCGGAGAGACACTGGAGATGGGGACCGACACAGACGGCAACGTCGTGGACGCGCTCCTGCTCGGCTCAAAGCGGATCGGGCACGGATTCTCACTTTCGAGGCACCCATACATCATGGAAAGGATGAAGAAGCAGAACATA